TACCTGTATCACCACCATCTCCTCCTAGAAGGTATTTCAAATTAGGTGTTTTGCAATAGCACTTTGTTAATTGGATTTTTAGGGTGTTTTATAAATTGAATATCCAGGTAATCCTTGCATGGTCCTGGGGTTACGAAGCCAACCTGGACTGCCGGGATTGCCATTGCTAAGCGATGAGGTCACATGACATTGCACTTTACAGCCACATCGCTTAGCGATGGCAGTCCTGGTCCCAGTTGCCATTGTACCCCAAGGATTACATGTATATTTAATGAGAAGTAAGTGCTGATGAGAGAGCCATTTTTGTGTAATGGTTAAAGATGCTCAGCTTGGAGCAGGGAAACTTGAATTCTGTATCTGGCTAGGCATTAAGAGAGATGTGGTGCTTCTGATTACATAACAACCTAGCTATTTTGAAGGTCATAAACCAAGGAGGGTAAAACTGCATTATAAATTCTGCTTAAACAAAAATCTGTGTAACTTCCAGGTCTTATGGGAAAGGAGCATAAATGTCTGCATCTAGGTGGGAAGCGACAAAGTGTGTATCATGACATCACAGTTTGAAATCTGTGACTTACATATTTGTGTCTAGTGTTGGAATACAAGTATGAGTGGGTGGCTTTTGCATCATATGTTACCATGTTAATGTTAATTTTTTTTTTTTGGTCATCGTGACTAGCTGCAGAAATCTATAGAGTTCAGCATTTCCCAGTCTGTATCTGGGAAATATGTTAGTCAATACTGTAAAGATTAATACCACACAATTGTTTAGATTTTAGAGTTTCAGGGCTCCTTGAAAATTGATGATGCTTTCCTTTTTTGTAGCATACAGTGGTTAACTAAGAGAAGAGTTAACCACTGTATTGACCAAATTGTACTTTTTCTCAACATTTTGGGGTTAATGTAGTTTAATATTTTAACTACATTAAAATAACTTGTATGTGCTTAACTTGTATGTAGAGGAAGCAAGTGTTGAACATTTGAAAAAGGTATATGTTCAGAAGCTGCAGATTAGGTTGATTTTTAAAAAATCAACATAAAATGCCATGCATCTCTATAGAATGTGTCTTTATATGTCCATTTATAATTTTTGCATTATTAAGGCTAGATTTCATAACTGAAAGTAGGAATGATTTGTCTACTATATTCAGCTATCATTTTCATGATATAAAATAGCTTCCATACATTAAATATAGGTGAACAACTTCTATCAGTTTGGCATTGCCGCACGGCACTGTGAATGGCTGCAATCCAGAAGTGTGTCTCAGATTTGGCTCTATTCTGGAGGGAATGATTTTTTTTAAGGATGAAAATGTGCCTTAAGTCTCTGCAAAGCTTAAATAATTTTTTTGTCCTTTAAAATCTGTTAAAACCCAGAATATGAAAAAATATAGATTGAATGTTTGGGTTTGGGTGCAAACAAGTACTATGTATTGTATGAGTCCCATGGTTGCACTTTTGTATTCCTGTGTTAAAGAACAAAGAACTTCAAAGAAAGCTTGTGAGCTTTTTAAAATGTTGATTGAAAAACCAAATTCAATACAGTTTATGTAATGGGAATTCAGATGGTTGAGTAGTAATAAGGATATAAACATTCAAATACCAAAATATTTTATATTGTGAAAGTTAAATATAATTTGATGGGAATGGTTTTGAGATGTTCTACTACTGTATCAGATTCTTGGAAGAATCAGAAAAAATAGTTCTGTGTACAAGTAGTTTTAAAATTTACTAACGCAGTTCATAATTTAAATGTACAAAATTAGTGGAAATGGTAATTCATTGTATAGGAAGCATGGATTGCTACATTTATTTAGAGAAGAATCTTGTGGGAAATGTCAGGTGTCAGCATTTTATTGGGAACAGAGATTCAGATGATTTGTTGGCTGACCAGCCAGTATGGTATAATAATAAGAATGTTGAACTAGGACTGGGAAGATCAGTTTCAAATCCATATTTATTTATTAAATATTTACACTGGCTGTAATGGATGGCATGAGTGGAGAAGATTCTGGAATGGAACTTCAAGGTTGTCAGGAGGGGGGAGAGACATTCCAGGGAAAGCGCCTCCTCAGCCCACAACAAGAGTGTGGAAAGACGAAGAGGATGAGGCTGGCCCCTTCCTAGAGGGGTTTATCCACTAGTTGCTATAGCATAGGTTTAGTCTGGCGAGATTCTGTCTATCAGGTGCGAGCTAATAAAGGAACTGAACTGTACTGGATTGCCTCGTTGTTGTTCTTGGGCTGAACCTGACATCAATCTCGCCAGACTGAACCTATGCTATAGCAACTAGTGGATAAACCCCGTGAGACTGTGGAGGGGCCAGCCTCATCCTCTTCATCTTCCCACATTCTTGTTGAGGGCTGAGGAGGCGCTTGCCCTGGAATGTCTCTCCCCCCTCCTGACAACCTTGAAGTTCCATTCCAGAATCTTCCCCACTCATGCCATCCATTACACTGGCTGACTCCTAGCAACTCTGGGAAGTTCACAAATAAAAACATGTAGAATAAAATAATACAATGATAAAGAACAAAAGATGGCACAAACCAAGGCAGCAACCAAAGCAAATCCAGATTACCCTGAAGGGGCTTCAGTCACCCTTGCCAAAGGCCTGGGTGAAGAGTCAGGTCTTCAAGGCTTTCTGAAATACCAGCTGGTTGGGGGCCATACATATCTCAAATGGAACCTCATTCCAGAGAGCAGATGCTACAGCAGAAAAGGCAAGTTTCTTGGGTCTGTATAAGTGGCATTGTTTAATTGAAGGAACCTGGAGTGTACCTGAGCCTGCTGGATCAGATTGGTCAAGCAGATACTATGGGAGATAGCACTCTGAAACTCTACGTGGTCCTATGCTGTGTAGGGTTTTATAGATAATAACCAGCACCTTGAATTGCACCTAGAAGCAAACTGACAAGCAGTGCAGCTCATGCAGTTCACGTGTTACATGGGCCTACTGAGGTATCACTGCCTGCGCTGCTGCATTCTGAACCAGTTGAAGCTTCAAGGGCAGCCCTGTGTAGAGCATGATACAGTAGTCAAGCCCTGAGGTAATCAAGGCATGAATAACTGTCTGAAGGGCCTCCTAATTTAGGAGAGAGTGCAACTGGTGTAGATGAAGCTATGCAAAGACCTTCCTGGCCACAGCTGCCACCTCCTCAACCAGCAGGAGCTGTGAATCCAGGAAGACCCTCAGATTGCACACCACTCCTGAACAGAGAAGTGCCACACCGTCCAGATCTGGGTGGCCCAAACATCCATTGGCAGGGTTGCCAGGGATAAGTTGGAGACACTTCCTTCTCATCCTCACCTGCACCATGTCTAGGCACTGTAATGGAACCTTGACAGTCTCACTTGGCCAGTCCATAATCGAAAGATTCATTGGGTGTCATCAGTATACTGATGATACCGAAATCCAAACTGATGGATAACCTCACACAGCAGTTTCATTTAGATGTTGAATAAAAGGGAGAGAGGGTAGAGCCCTGTAGCACCCCATAAAGGAGGAGCCTAGGGAGTGATCCCCCCCCCAACCAAAACTGACTGAAATCAGTACCAGAGAAAGGAAGAGAACCACTGTAAAGTGGTTCCCCCTATCCTCATCCTGTGGAGCTGGCTCAGAAGGATACCATGATCTGCAGTATCTAAAGTTCCTGAGAAGTCAAGGAGCACCACCTCCATCCTGGCTTTGCAACAGGTCATCCACAAGCACAACCATCTCAGTGCTAAATGCCAGCCTGAAACCTGACTGAAACAGGCCTAGATAATTCACTTCCTCCAGACCAACCACCTTCTCAACAACCTTCCTCAGAAAGGGAAGGTTGAAGACTAGATGATAGTTATCAAGAACCATTGGGGTCCAAGGAAGGCCTCTTGAGCAGTGGGCACACCAATACCTCTTCCAAGGGAGGAGGTATCACCTTCTCCTGAAAGGAAGTTGACACCACAGCATGGACCCAACTGTAGGTCACCTCCCTGGCTGCTTTTACAACCCAGAAGGGGCCCAGATCCAGTAAACAGGTGCCAAGCTGACAACCCAGAGAACCCTATCCACTTCTTCAGGGGTCACTGGCTAAAACTCAGCCCAGATCACACCGCCAGGCTGTGCCCCAGGTACCACAGCCTATCCTGCCTAGCCAGAGTCTGAGCAGATCTGATATTCATCAAAGGGACATGAGGTTTGATAGAAGAGTTTTGCTAGGGCCATTGCAAATGTTTTGCGAGGATAAGTGGGGGGGTGGGGGGGAGGTGAGGAGAACAGTAGATGCCCCCTTGAGTTTCTTAGAGAAAAGATG